AAGTAGAATATACATTATTTTATTTAATGATATACATTACTGGTTACAGTTTTGGCGTAAATATCCTAAATAGACAAATTATTATGTTTGAAATATGTATCACACCTGCATTTCCGTGTACAATTACTAGTCTGCATATGAAGTGTGTACTGGAAATAGTATAAGTATAATGTATCGGTTTTCAAAGCAATTCAGATCCACTCTCGACCTGTTATCGTGCACATACTACTACAACTGTGACAGTGAGGTGCATGGCAATATAGCTTTAGACATCAAAGTGACCGTATCGATTTCCCCATCTTCATCTTTTTCGCAGTTTTTTTCAAAACAGTGTTCTTCGATCTTTGTGTTTAAACAGTGTCTTACTCCTTACCTTTCTGACGAGAGAGTCACTTCTTTCCATACGAAAACGGTATTTTTCAAAGCACCTTCAAATTGGATTATTGAATATACTTTTGTTCAACCTTTAGCTATGTCAATACAGGCACAACAAAAGACATGTCTATTTGTCACTCAGAAATCACAATACCCAAGACGGAAAATCTGTTTTCAATGTTTGCAAAATTATCGACCTCTGATAGTCTGACTGAAAACCTTTTTATTTAATGGTTCGGTGTATTTTCCCAGGTTTAGAAGGCTGTTTAGAACAACTCATGTTGGTATAAAACCGGTACCAATAATGATAAGTTGTTTGTAATGGCTGAGCAAAAATACGTCATGGAATGGATATACAGGGCCCATACTCCTTGTACGGAGTGAGTGAGAGAGTGCTATTTAACCTCTTAGTCAACATTTTTCCAGCTATATCAAGACGGCCTGTAAATAATCAGTGGGTGGAGTATGAGAGTCTTCCCACGCAGTCGGGGTGCGATGACAATTAAAAAGTCATCCAGCCTTTTCAACAAGTTAGTTGGTTTGTTGTTTTACGCCGCACTCAGCAATATTCAAGCCATATGACGGTGGTCTGTAAATAATCGAGTCTGGACCAGACATTGATTGACATCATGAGCATCGGTCCACGCATTTGGGATACGATGACATGCATCAACCAAGTCAGCCAACCTGACCACCCGATCCCGTTAGTCGCCTGTTACAACAAGCATAGTCGCTTTTTACTGCAAGCATGGGCAACCTATTCTACCCCTGCTCTTCACGGATCATGTGCCATAGCATGAAACATTGCTCACATCAAGAACTTGTTTGTCTTTTCCAGACTCGATTGTAATCGGCCACCGTCATATTTCCTGAATATTGCCCACTGCTGCGTTAACTTGAAAATCTAAAGAAATTGAAGAACAAAAAAACGTTTACCTGAAAGCAGAAACACAGGGCTTCAAGTCGCCAAGTTACGCCATATAGAGGACTTAAAATGGTCTGCTTGTGTCCGCTACCCTGTCAGGTTTAGCAATGTGTCTTGATGATGGTCAGGTGCAGAAGCAGTAGAAGGGCAGCATGTACAACGACAGTGTCCCCGCGGCATGAAGAACGGTGCGGAGATTGAGCACGCTGCTGGGTGTTCAGTTATGTTAGTGGAGAGCAAAATCATCCACTTTAGACTGATATGTTATGATAAGTTTTCGATGACTGCCAAGTACATAATTTAAAGAATAATTCGTCAAAGACACTCTCGTGTTTGCAGTATCGGTACTGCTTAGGGAATGAGTACCATTCATTTGTAACCCGTGAAGATCCGGAGTAGAATTGGTCTTCAGCAACCCATGCTTGCCGTAAAAGACGACTATGCTTGGAAGAGGCGACAAACGGGATCGGGTGGTTTGGCTCGCTGACTTTGTTGATGCATGTCAGTTGCGTGGATCGGCGCCCGTGATGTCAATCTCTGGATTGTCTTGTTCAGACTCGATTATTTACAGACCGGCGTCATATAGCTGGAATATTGGTGTTGTAACAGTATTGCGGCGTTAAACAAGAAACATTCAAAACAAGGCACTTGGTGTTTTTTTCAAGTAACTCCATAACCAAGCCCCAAGTTACACCCGAGAGCTCATGATCACGTACCAGCCAAAGACAACACTAACAGTGTTATCCGTCCTATTATACAATACATGATAATCACAGCACTGGTTTAGGGGGAAACGAAGTTTTCGTCCTCATACACTCAAAAAAAACCTATAAACTAACTATAAATTTTAATTTGTAGTAAGAATCAAAATATTGTTAACAAAATGCTGTAAATTTATCACCTAAAAGCAACCAACACAAATGTTTCTGAAAGCCACGATTCTGGTCAAGGTATTCTTGCAAAATTACTATAACCATGAAAGATTGATGCACGTGCAACACGATATTATTTTGGCAGTTAGGTGAGTGAGTGAATTACAATTTTACATCATATCGGCAATATTCCGGCCATATCGTTGGAAAGTATAAGGGTATGTGGAAGGGAATAAATCAGTGTATCTGCCTACTGTGGCACCACAAATCAAAGTAAAAACACACCGACCATGCCAGGGCTATTGCATGAAGAGAGATGGGAGCTTCACATGGCCACGTGTCTACAACCACCAGGTTGATGGCGTGTTACAGGCACACTGGCCATACGGTGGACAGGCCTAGACGTGGTAGACCATCCGTCAAGATCACTCATGAAGACCGATATCTACGCGTCTTACACACGAGGAACAGATTCGTTACAGTGACGTCATCGCCAGCAATTGCCCTTGAACATCCTGTCAGTCGAAGAACGTCATGGAGGGGACAACAACATGATATTCATGGCTTCATACCGTATCACGGAATATTTTTGACGCCTCAACATCGACGTCAAAGATTGAGGTGGGCATGGACCGTCAGTCAATGGCAGAACAGAAACTTGGAACGGGTACTCACTGCTGACGATTTCCTGATGGCAAAGTTCGGCACGTTGTTGCTTTCATGAGGTCGTGTCATTCGGCGTTGGTAACGTCATGGTTTGGGGCGGTAACGGTGGACAGCAGAAGACGCTTGTAGTTTTCAACGCCAATCTCACGGCAACTACTCCAAACTGGATGAGGTAATTTGCTGAGTTTGTTTGTTTGTTGTTTAACGCCACACTCAGCAATATCCCAGCTACATTGTATATGTCGGCGGTCTGTAAATAATCGAGTCTAGGGGCGGTCGGGTAGCCTAGTGGTTAAAGCGTTCGCTTTTCACGCCGAAGACCCGGGTTCGATTCCCGACATGGGTACAATGTGTGAAGCCCATTTCTGGTGTCCCCCGCCGTGATGTTGCTGGAATATTACTAAAAGCGGCGTAAAACCATACTCACTCACTCACTCAATAACAACCATGTGAACTTTATGCATGGCCAGCCCGATCCCTTGACAGGTCTCCAGTTGAACATGTGCGGAATCTCTTGGGACGAAACAATAGACCACGACAGGTTCCTGCGATGCCTAGACAAGGCGTGTTGCAAGCACGAGTAGAGGAACGTTGCTGCAATTCCACCTCAAGTCATTCGACATCTGGCGTCCTCAGCTCGCCATCGAATGAGAGCCTGCATTGATTCCCGTAAGGGGCACGCATGATACTGACAGTGTTTGGAAATCATGCTACCCTGAACCGTTACCTGAATGCATTGTTGCATGATGGAAGGCCAGACAAATTACCCCATCCTCATGATTGTGCCATCAACGCCGTTTTATATCAATTTACAACTGAATAATTTCATATGTTCTTGCAATGAATATGTACTTGGCAGTTACAACTATCATGGCTCTTCTTTCAATGATCGTCATGTCTTACTTTTGCCCATGGGTGTAGTTACCCTATGATTGGAACCTCATCGATATCGATCCTTACACTACAAACATTGATCTCACGACAGTGTAATTAATATGACAACAACTGGAATAATTGGGTGATTGAGCTACCTAAATATTATTTTGTGGAGGAAGATTGACAAGAAATAGAGCTTTCATAAAACAAATAGTTCCTAAGAAGCTGAAAAAGTAAACTGCCGGGCAAAAGTATACACTTAAAAATTGAATTAGTTCAAAAAGGTACAAACGTCATCAAAAGTTACTAGTCTTAAAATAGTCACCGAAACACTACAATCTTACTGTCCCAAACAAATCCAGCAGTGATACCCGTTTCTTCCATTTATTCCTCCATCAAACGTGGATGTATGCTATATTTTGCCCTTCAGTTCATAACGTTGCCTATGCCATAAACATCAACAATAATAATATTACTCACGCACGACGTTTATGTTATGCTGTAAGACTGCATACTGCAACTTAAATAGCTTATCCACTTCTTAAGCATCTACATAATCCGACAGGCGTGCCAAAATCTATGGTTGTGTATCCTGATCCCATTTCGCCATGATAATGTTTTTAGGTTTGTCAGCACCATACCCGTGCTCGTGAGCTTTACCAAAGTCCTAAGACCCGCATAACATGTACTCCTTGCTTTCCTCCCGCAACAAACTGATGCCCCTATGTAACAAAGCGGGGTCACGGTGGCATTTAACCAACTCACTCGCTCTGTACATTACATACCGTATTCGACGTAATTTCAAAATTAGGAATGGGGGCTTCTTATAAGAATATTATTTTGGTGAAAAAACAGAGTTGAAAGATCGTAAATTTCGTGGTTAATGCTGACATCCTGAAATGTTTACATACGACAGATATATTTTTCCAGAATTCAACTGCCCATAATTAAGGGTGCATATAAGACACGAGTGCGGGTTATACACGAATAAATAAGTCTTGTGTACATTGATCAGTCGGAAGGGGTGCTAATTGGGATTGTTCACTAGCCAATATATTAGCAAATATCACCGTGGACGCTTATTAGAGCGGGGCGCTTATTACGTCGAATACGGTATATCATATATTGCTAAATGTAACTTTTGATATCATTGAGAAACGTGTATATGCATTGAAAATGTACATGAACATCACTGCATGTTTGCAATGAGGCCTTTTCGGGAACGTGACAGGTTGCAGTCTTAGTGTGTCATTGCTGTCAACCCGTTCAACCAAATGACAGATGGCCTTGCGTGGGTCCAGTCAGGCGAGGTGTAAGTAATACACCCAATACACGATGTTGAATACAAGGAAGGAAATCGGAAATCCGTATTTGGAAATGTTATCGACTTGTCTGCTTCTGTCTTTGGAGTAGTCAGCATTGCGCATTTCCGGTTTTCCATTTCCGGTCTTCACCTCATCCCGTGATGGTTCTTTGGTTAACTGGTTAAGCTGGGAAGATATAAATATAACACGGCTAACTGAAGTTACCTTAATAATTGAGACTCCAAGGAAACTATCGATTCTACTTGTAATCGTGTCTCTAAATCACCTATATTTACAAAAAATGTTACAGCACTGTAGCTCACCTTGCTGTAAAAGGCGACTATGCTTGTCGTAAGAGGCGACTAATGGGATCGGGAGGTCAGGGTCACTGACTTGGTTGATGCATGTCATCGATCCCAGTTGCGTGGATCGATGCACATAATGTCAATCACTGGATTGTCTTTTCAAGACTCAATTATTTACAGACCGCTGTCATATAGCTGGAATATTGCTGAGTGCGACGTTAAACAACAACAAACAAACAAACAGCACCCTACCCTTTGTCATGTATCACTGCATCACTTCGGGCTTCTTTTACCCATTAAGAGACACACCATGATGAGACAGAATTACTGATCAAAGCGTTATTAAACCCACAACAAAGTGAACATAATGTTTCAGGTAAATAATTTGTCGTCAGGTTTTATATAAAAAAGAGGTTTTTAGTTGGATGTAACCAAAAAAGAAAAGTGTTAAAGATAAAAGTTAATTTGTGCGGCTTTTCCACTGGAAACCATAGCGTATCTTGCAGCAGTGAAAGAATCAGCGCCTAACTCTACCTCGCCCTCGGAATATTAAAAAGTGACAATGCTCCACAGACTATTGCCCGTTTTCATCGCAAGAATTTAGCATGTCGCTGAAGCCATGAAATTTCAACTTCTGTATCTTAAAATTTCAACTTCTGTATCTTATAATTTTAACTTTTGTATCTTGAAATTTCAACTTAGTTTCTTGAAAATTCAACTTAGTATCTTGAAATTTCAAGATAGTATCGAAAAAAATTTAAAAAACAAATGGCCCTAAAAGGCTTCCGTAGCCATGTATTCGTCGTTTCTCTTTTATTATAAAAGTTAAGTGAACAGTCACGAAATTTAATTTGCGTGACTTTAATCCAAACTGCTTGCGTTGCTGGAATGATTTAAGGGTCGCTTCAAGATTTTACCGTAAATAATTACCTTTGGGATATGAAATATTATTATAGTGATGTGTTCATGACAATTACCTGAGATATGGAATCGTCCTGTTTCAGCACCTTCTTGTGTCGTCGGAACATCACCGTGACGACAGCATACTCCATGTAGGCGGCAAACACAAACACCAGGCACGCCGACATCCACACGTCGATGGCCTTCACGTAAGGAACCCTGGGAAGTTGTGCGCGCGCACCTGAGCTCTGGGTGGTGATGGTGAGCACTGTTAGGAGCCCCACGGAGATTCTGGCGGGAACTGCCTCGTGGTCGATCCAGAACGAGGCCCAGGACAACACGACGATGAGGATGCTTGGGACGTAGGTCTGTGTAGCGTAGAAGCCGATCTCTCTTTCTATACTGACGTCAACCCTGAGACATGTGTAGGCTCCTACGGGATAAGCCGGACAAATATGGGTTTTTCATTATTTGAAAATAGTTCTTGAGTGGTTGATGTGTGTTTAACGCCGCTTTGAACAGTATTTCAGTTCTATCATGGCGTGTCAGCTTGATGTTAGAGAAAAGACTGAACCTGCGATGGTTTTAAACGTTTATGATTTTTTTGAAACCTATGAGCACAAGTATTGTACTGACAACCCTAGAAACATATTCCGAACGAATTCGCGGTTTGAACTCACGATGGTAGGTTACTGGCGCGCCTAAGGAATGCAACTCCGTACAGCGAATTGCGGTGCCAAAGACAGAACCACCACTGTACCCTTGAAAGAAGGCAATAATGGTGAAAATCTTCAGGTCGCAAAACCAGGTATTCCTTCAGCAGTAGTCAGGCTCAAGCCCGGAATAAAACTAAAAGTCAGATAAACGTTTTGACAACCTGACATTGAAAAGTATTTTTCCATCCCAGAGCAATTTGACTATTTGTTATGGTTTGGAATAATAAATGCGACTTGTTGTCAATGAGTGAGTGAGTATACGCCGCTTTTAGTAATATTCCAGCAATATCACGGCGGGGGACACCAGAAATGGGCTTCACACATTGTACCCATGTCGTGAATCGAACCCGGGTATTCGGCGTGACGAGCGAACGCTTTAACCACTAGGCTACTCGACCGCTCCCGGTACTGTAAACGTTGCTGTTGAAAAAAGCAGCGCATGGAAAAAAACCGTTCGCTGGTTGTCTTTAAAGATGAACAAACGATTCACCCTTCCGCGTGAAATGGTTGATGTTGCATCATGGATTGTGTTAAATAGTTAAATCAGCAAACGCGCATGCAGTCTTCAGCATGGATTTGCAATCTGGTAGCAGCTTATGAAATACTCAGTTCAGCTCCAATCCTCCACGGTGTCGTTGATTCGATCCCTTTGATCGCGTCATAACGGAGGACGTTAAAAGATGGTAAAGATGGTTGTGACCCTGCCTGACGCTCGGCATTAAGGGACTAAAACAAGGACTGGCCGGGTCGGAGTGCCTGATGAGTGAGTTGGGTGTCCATGTTAAACTGCGACATGGTATCTCACTAGGCTAGCCCTATCAAACCGACATTAGTCGTCACATGTCTTTATATGAATAAATAATCTTGTACTCGACGTTAATCCCCATTTCACCTCACCTCGCCTCGACTGACCCCCTTATACCCAATTGCGTGGATCGATGCTCATAATATTAATCACTGGATTGCCTGGTCCAAACTCGATTATTTACAGACCGCCGTCATATAGCTGGAATATTGCTGAGTGCGGCGTTAAACAACAAACCAACAAAGGAGTTTTCACATTTTACACTGGAATCGACAAGGATTTTCAGGTTTCCACACTAAGGCCCCTTCTTACCGGTCGTGTATTTGTTTTGGCAATTCCCCACTGTCACGTCGGTTATCAGAAAATCTGGAATCTGTACCCCCGGGCGGCTGTCCACAGCATCCCGTTCAGTCGCAAATTCGTAGTAGATATCTGTTGACGTGTGGCTGTCTGTAACGAGCGAGTTAGTGAGTTGGGTTTTAGTCCACTTATAGCAATTTTTCAAAAATGTCTCGGGACTCAAGCAATAGGCTTTACACACAGTCTTCGACATGACGAAAGAAAGGTGTAAGCACTACCCGACTGCCCCTCGTCCTACATAAAGCATCGTTAAACCATTTCATTAAAAAATCAGATATTTTATACCGATCTACGTGAACGACATGTCCATCTCCTCAAGGCTTCTAAATTCTCGGTATGAGTGAGCGCAGCGTACAGACAAGAATATATGATTTCCCTATCTCGTAAACGAATGTAATCGGGGAGTGTCCAATGCAAAATAATAAAGAATAATGCTGGCATAGTCTTGTGGATATTGTCATATCCTGTCGACGATCGTTTCACAGCGTCATGTCATCTACACTCAAAACGGTGTACGTGTATGTATGTACACTCTTCAAAAAATGAAACGCACAGGTAGTATGTAGTTCATGTACTCACTGCCCCAAAAATCCGGTATATAAATTGGACATATGTTATTGGAAAATGTTGGTGGCCTGATATTCGACAAACGGTGCGTCAAAATGCAGCCATTGTCGATTTGCAATGTCTTAAACGGCATTATTTTCACACTTGTTCAAAATGTCATGGACGAAAACAGTAAAGCAAAATGCACGTGCAAGTTATGGCAGTCGTAACTCGTGGTAGTGGCTTCAAAAAGGCAAGCATAAGCCAATAATTTGTCATTCAATTGTCAACATTTTTTTTAAGTTCGAAAATGGCGAGACTCTGCGCTGCCGATCGGAACATCGCCACAGGACGTATCCAAAGAGGGGAATCGCAGTCTTCTTTTGCACGCAACTTCAACGTCCACAACAGCACCATTTGCCGCCTTTGGGACCGAAACGCACAGTTCCACTGCAGACCGTCCGAGAACCGACCGACCAAGAGTTTCCACCCCTGCACAGGATCGCTACATTCGACTGTTCCACCTACGTCATCGCAATGCCACAGCTACGGAGACTACAGGACGCATCCCTGGTTTGAGGAGGATATCGAACCAGACTGTCAGGAACCACCTTCGGGAGTCTGGAATCCGACCCAGAAGACCAGTTATCGTCCCTGTTTTGCAACAGATCCATCGACAGCGACGCTTGCGTTGGCGCCATACCTTACAGCCTTAGAATTTGAGAAACTGAAGACGAGTGTGGTTTAGCGATGGATCACTATTTCTTCTTCACTGGCGAGATGGAAGACAACGCGTTTATCGTCGTCGAAATGAACGTTTTGTCCTACACTGTGTACGTGAATTCGACAATTTCGTTGGCAGTAGTGTCATGGTGTGGGGGGCCATATCCTACACCTGGAGATCTGACTTGGTTTAGGTTCAGGGAAGTTTGACAGCAAATCGCTACATGAATCAAGTTCTTCAAACTCCTTTTCTTCCAATCATTGACCGCCAGAGGGAGCTGTTTCAACGGGACAGCGCTCCGCCGCACACAGCTCGTATCACGGTAGACTACCTTCATAATGCCAACATCCACGACTTGCCCTGGCCGTCGAGATGTCCAGATCTCAACTCAATTGAACACCTCTGGGATGAACTCGATCGACGTGTACGTCAAAGTCAGAACACGCCGCAGACACTCCCACAACTGGCCAACGGGGTACAGTCAGTACGAGGCGATGCATAGCCGTGATTGCTGCCCGGAGCGGTCACACAAGACACTGACTTCAGCGCAACCTTGTGTGCCGTGTGTGACATGACAATGAACAGTTTTCAATGCCTTTGTACAACGACAACATGTGACTATCGAGCTCCAAACTTTCATATTTGTATCTATGATATTAAATTAAATATATCGACTTTATTAGGTGCAATAAATTAACTAAAAATCAACTTGTGCGTTTCTTTTTTGCAGAGTGTATGTGTTCTGTGTGAGGTATCTTTTCCTAAGATCGAATTACCGAATCGAGAAGGCGAAGAAATGAAGCCAAATGGTTTTAGAAAGCTAATATCTGTCTTATTTAAGTACCCACACATCCTTCAGTTATACTGGTGGATCAGTGTTCGGGCAATGGTTCATCTGACGCGCTCTTGTAGAACCATTGTACTATAAGATGAATGTCCCCAACATTTTCAACATAGTGAATAAGGTACTCTTTCTTTAGTTTTACTCACAACTTTCCATGTCGATGTGACAGGTTTGCTTATCCATGGGGAAGTTGATGAGGTTCATGGGACATGCTAGCGTCACAGACAACCTGAAACAAGACACCAGGTGTTGTTGTTTTCCCCCTTCTGCGATTGTTTAATAATTTACACCAGAATTTACAAATGTGTTGTGGTGTGCCAACAGATATTATTGTCTTGAAGCAGATACAGAAACAAGTTTTGTCTCGAACATAAATCAAAATGGAAAACTGTCGGTGCATTACCACAAACACATTTGCCCTTCTTCAGGTTCCCAGGCAATGTATTGAAACACAGCTGTGATAGATTCGTAAATCATACATACAGAGTCGATGTCAGTTTGACTGCGGGTCTAAGGGTCTGGCCATTTCATTTCTGGGACGCTTGGATTTTGTTTGCGAAATATTTTCAAAAACATATTTGTTCACTGGATATGCAGATTGTCCAGAAAAAATGTATTGTGAAAAATAAACGTTGGTTGGAGACAAGTGTATGTCCAAATATGTTCCATCTGTAATTACAAGTGGATGTCCAAATATGTACCATCTGTAATTACAAGTGTATGTCCAAATATGTTCCATCTGTAATTACAAGTGTATGTCCAAATATGTTCCATCTGTAATTACAAGTGTATGTCCAAATATGTTCCATCTGTAATTACAAGTGTATGTCCAAATATGTTCCATCTGTAATTACAGGTGTATGTCCAAATATGTACCATCTGTAATTACAAGTGTATGTCCAAATATGTTCCATCTGTAATTACAGGTGTATGTCCAAATATGTTCCATCTGTAATTACAGGTGTATGTCCAAATATGTTCCATCTGTAATTACAAGTGTATGTCCAAATATGTTCCATCTGTTATTACAAGTGTATGTCCAAATATATTCCATCTGTAATTACAAGTTGTTGTCCAAATATGTTCCATCTGTTATTACAAGTGTATGTCCAAATATGTTCCATCTGTAATTACAAGTGTATGTCCAAATATGTTCCATCTGTTATTACAAGTGTATGTCCAAACATGTTCCGTCTGTAATTACAAGTGTATGTCCAAATATGTTCCATCTGTAATTACAAGTGTATGTCCAAATATGTTCCATCTGTAATTACAAGTGTATGTCCAAATATGTTCCATCTGTAATAACAAGTGTATGTCCAAATATGTTCCATCTGTAATTACAAGTGTATGTCCAAATATGTTCCATCTGTAATTACAAGTGTATGTCCAAATATGTTCCATCTGTAATTACAGGTGTATGTCCAAATATGTTCCATCTGTAATTACAAGTGTATGTCCAAATATGTTCCATCTGTTATTACAAGTGTATGTCCAAATATATTCCATCTGTAATTACAAGTTATTGTCCAAATATGTTCCATCTGTTATTACAGGTGTATGTCCAAATATGTTCCATCTGTAATTACAAGTGTATGTCCAAATATGTACCATCTGTTATTACAAGTGTATGTCCAAATATATTGCAGCTGTAATTACAAGTGTATGTCCAAACATGTTCCGTCTGTAATTACAAGTGTATGTCCAAATATGTTCCATCTGTAATTACAAGTGTATGTCCAAACATGTTGCATCTGTGATTACAAGTGTATGTCCAAATATGTTCCATCTGTAATTACAAGTGTATGTCCAAACATGTTGCATCTGTGATTGCAAGTGTATATCCAAACATGTTCCGTCTGTAATTACAAGTGTATGTCCAAACATGTAGCATCTGTAATTACAGGTGTATGTCCAAATATGTTTCATCTGTAATTACAAGTGTATGTCCAAACATGTTGCATCTGTAATTACAGGTGTATGTCCAAATATGTTCCATCTGAAATTACATTAAAAGAGGAAAAAAGGCTAGTCGACGGCCATTTAATGTACACTTTATGCCATTATTTGAAAGTTTTCCGCACCTTTAAAATTTGATGTTTCCATGGGGTTAAAATGGGCCTCTACCCTTCATTTGCACCTCCTCCTTTGGGTATAATGAAATGCTAAATACAATGTGAATAGATAACACTGACCTTTGCGAGTACAAAATGGTTCCGTCAGGAGACAGGAGAATCAAGACATTTGGGGTAGTGATTTCATGTCTGCTTGCTCGTTTGGAATTGGGGAAATACAAGTCAGGCACCCACAGCGAGTCGAGACGTTTCTCGCTGATAACGATACTTCTATTCAGATCGTCATATTTTAAGCGTGGATCTCGCCACTCCTGACGGAGGAGGAAACTGGCGCTGAATTCCTACAATGAAAACGAAATGCAATTCCATGATATATTTTGTCATCTTTTGTCATGATATCATTGATCAAGGTTACAACATTCAATCCCTCAGCAAAGCTTTTAAAACGTTTTATGGTGAACATGTGGTGGACATTTTCAAATTTGGGCTATCAGTGACCAAAATGATGTCCGATGCAATTCCCCATTTTGACTATACAGTCGCCCCTGGTTATAGTGCCACATTTTTTATAATGCCATGTTTTACTTAGCACTGATTACCACAGTGCAGGGGGCACGGGTGGCCCAGTCGTCTTAGGCGCATTCATTTGCTGTGCAGAGTTGCGTCCCTTGGGCGCGCCAGAAACCTATGATTGTTGATTCGAATCACGGTTCGACCTAATTATGTTTCTAGGTTTGTCGGCACCATATACCCGTGCTCGTAGGTTTCACCGAAGTGGTAAACGTCTGAGACCTGCATCACTTCGGGCTTTCCTCCCACATTAAGCTGACGCGCCGCGATATGACTGGAATACTGTTAAAAGCGGCGTTAAACCCAACTCCACTCACTCCACAGTGCAAAATTCCCTAGCGATTATGCCACATAGGTTATAATGCCAATGCCAATGTTTTACAAAGCAAACATTCCAGCTCCAAGGTTACAATATTTTTTACATATATTTTTTAACATGCCAATCTTTGTTCTGACCCTACTGTCTCTGAGTCGGGTATTCATGTTAAACTGTGGCATGGTATCTCAGTGGGCTAGCATTAGTCAGGACTGGTACAAGCAGACACACACACACACACACACACACACACACACACACACACACACACACACACACACACACACAAAAAAAAACCAACCTCAAACATGCATACTTTTCAAATAGTTACTACTTGTACAATGAACCTCAAAAGGAGTAAGCAACGTTACCACTATCACTCCACAAAAATGAATTAAACCTGCCTTTCATGCATTAAGAAACTATGAATCGGATGCACCACATTGACAAGGAAATGTTTTCTTCAAAATAAGTTTGACAAGGATTATCATCAAAACAATGGGGGGTTTTCACTGTCCCTGTGAAGATAATGACATAAATGGAGTAAACAAATCAAATAATGTTGAATGACAATCGTATATTATAACAATTTACAAGATACATTGATCAGACTTTTATGGGCCGTTGCAAGCAAACCTCAGTGTCAACTTACGAATAGCACACATACAACTTTCAGCCAACACTACATTTTATCAGGCAGCTGTCATAATGGTAACGTAAATTACCCTAAGTTGTGAGGTAGATTTCCAAAACAACAACTCAACAAATACCATCATAACATATATATACTAAAATATTTTAATTTGTTTTGTATATTCAGTGGCGATTTGGATTCTAACAACGTGTTTATTCCTTGAAAAGAAGTTCTGTCAACCCTTTGGCTACGCATATGGTCTTTTTAAGTGTTTTAAAGAAATATCTAGACTCTGGGAAAACAGTAGTTCTATACTGTGGAAGTACACATGGCAGTATGTACACTGAATGTTTGCAATGTACATTGTATGGTGTATGATAAGTGTGAAACATAGGTAGTGTTTCAAATGGTTGGGGAAACATCCTATTCAACTCTGGTCACGTAGTTCACAGGCCCCAATATGTTAACGGATCTAATTAGTTTGTCTTTCTGTCATATGCTTCCTTGATGGCTTTGGTGTCCTCTGGGCGAATGTTGAAGGTTCTTCCACTTCGCACTTTTAGTTCTGGTGCCTGTATTTGGCAGAGGATGTCCTGGAAGTCAACCCAGAGCTCATCAACAGCGCTTAGCCATTCGTAGATGTACTGTGCTGAGTCTTTAGACGAGGCAACTTCAAGAAAGGTTATGAGACAGTCATTGTCATCTCTGTCAACTTCTTATACTTATCCATTGTGCCACTTTCTTTGGTACAGAACCGCAACCAATTCATCTTCATTAATGGAGATATCCTTGAGTACTGTTCTTATCAGTTCCTAGAACTGGATCAGGATCTTTGGAACTGGTAAAATGAATCTTTCTTTGTGATTCAACAGGAGTATCGGTGTTAGCAGGGCGAGATTCAGTGACTCTAGTTTCCTCGTGACTCGTCTTCTTTAACAGATGTGTTGTAACCCAGACGGTGTGATAGTTGCCTGCTAGACACTGCTCACAGTAGCATGAAATGGTGCGAGTTCTCAGAACTCCCAGTGAGACTGGTACCACCACATGGATCTGCATTGTACCCTCGACTGCAAGTATTGTCTGGTATATCTGAGCAAGTATATTCTGTGAATCTTATCTACTCAGCAGAGCTCACGAATACATACTTGGTGCTACTGCGAAGCTTCTTTCCTCATTCAAAGAAGTCTTGTGCATCCTGAATGGACAGCTTTTCTTTTCCAATTGCCAAATCCGCCATCCTCTTGATGGCGTGTGAACTTCCTGGGGCTTATTCCTTCCTGGCGTAGTTCTTCAGCTGTTCTATTTCTAGGTGTTACTTCATCAAGTCGAACAGAAGGCAGTGATCTTCACATATTGAGAATATGGATGGTTTTGTTTATATATCAGTCTTTCATATCTTTTGCAGACTCGTTTGTACTTTCGCTGCAGAATTCCATTCTTTAACTTTAATGATCCAATGTTTCGCCTTTAGTTTGAAGAAGCACGACTTATTCGTCTTCGTGATATTTTCTTGGGGTCACAATAAGGCAGTTTCACTGTCAGTCGCGAGGGCGGGTCTGTTGAGATGGTACAATATCTACATCATTAGAACGCTGGTGTTTGGACTGTGGTGTATTCCCGACTGTAGTGGGTTCCTCATCCTTGATTTGAAGAAGTAGGTGTTTTAAATGCTTCATCACGTTCAACAACTGCTGCCTTCACTCTTTTCCAATGCAGTGTCACTCATTTATTGACATTGGCTCGGCGCTTTTTAGCATCTTTTTTTGATCGTTCACATGTAGGGAACGATAAGACAAACACAGTTATCTCCCTTTATTGGCCTTGAAGTGTAAGTGATAGTAATAAGTGAATTTATCAAGGGTTTATAGATTATTGTATAACGTAGTTTATATCACATAAATTATATTTATGTCTTTGATAACTTGTCAGATCGTAAACCGAAGGATGATTACAATAGGTTTCACTTATTGTTACATTCGGCATATTTGTATGCGGCATACCAATCCATTGTATGAACCAGATGAATCAGTGTGTTACGTAGCTTACATGCTTAACAATTTTGCAACTTCTCATGTTTGGTGTACCCATGCTTTTGTTTTTCTTGGCAAAATCGCCTTGCAGTATTTTGGTATTTTGATTTATATGAAATATTACTGGAAAACTGCAATAATATGTCTTATAAATTATCATTCGACTGCAACGTAGATTTCGTGATTCCTTGAGACACTCTTCAAATTTCAAGAATTTTACAGTTTTCCGTTTGAACTTTTGAATGCTGACGACTGAAATATTGTACTTTCTGGAACATTTAACTAATCTTAATATCTTAACACATATAGGTTTTATTACATGCCAAATATGATAAGTAATGAAGGAGACAGGAAGAATGTTCTTAAAAGGCTAAGGTTATCAGAAACTAGTTTCCCTAATTTTAGTACCACTGCTATAAATGATGAAAATTTAATTGATGTTTTTTTATTTTAAAGGATTTCATTTGTTTAAGTTCATAATGTTGGGCCATGTATGATGTTTACCTGGGCCTCCACTGTGAGAAAGGGTGTTATTATTCATTGAATGACTTTATGAACCTGGAAAGCATAATGAGTATATCATTCCATCACATTCTTTAATTGAAATCATTTGCATATTCACCATTTGAATGTCATTCACAGGTCCAAGTGAGATCATGGTCAAGTCCACCAGCACCTGTGTTGCTTTACCTTAAAAAGAAAACACTTAATAACTATCTCGTCAGCCCTGGGAACACTGACATAATCACACCGTTTTCAACAGTAAACTACGGATATAGAGAAACAAACACTGAATATATTACAAACCCCATATACAAGAAACAAATATTGTATATATCGCCAAACTTTCAAATATAAACTAAGCGGCAAAAGAAAGTATAGGTTGGCAATTTGGAATTTTCCCAAAAACAGCGATAACTAGTGGAAAGTGGGTATTGGGAATATGACTGCCTAGGAACAGGTACCAAACAACACCTCACCCGAACGCGCCACCTTTGACGGCGCTCGTGCGGGGACAAAAAAAGGTGAAACAGGTTTCCTGCCTATGGCATAAACTGTACGTGCGTGTTAGCTGTATAAATGCGTTCGGCTGCAGGGTATAACCACACGTGATGAAAGCACACAAAAGAAATGCCACGACTTTCACAGAAGCAGAGAGAGAGCCATCGGTATGGAAGAAATGGGGGCAACACAGGTTCAAATTGCCAGAAGGTTTGGTTGTACACCATTGACAGTAGCCAGGATTCAACGGTACAGGCAGACAGGGAGGACACAGGACAGGCCTAGAACCGGACGACCCCGAGTGACAACACCACTGGTAGACGGTCAGATACGGCTCATTCACCTGCGAAACAGATTCGTAACGGCGACGGCGACACCGTTGGGACATCCAATTAGCCAACGTACAGTACTACGACGACTTCGTGCTGCTGGAATCCGAGCGTATCGTCGTTTCGGAGGAATGGTACTGACTGCTCAACATCGACGCCTGAGACTGCGATGGGCGAGGCAGGTTTTGACGCTGGCAAGTGAGAAATTGGCGTCGAGTGCTGTTTACTGATGAAAGTCGGTTTAACTTGTTTCGAAATGACGGCAGAGAACAAGTTTATCGACGCAGAGGGTAACGTTTGGCTCCGGCGTGTATTCGAGAGGTCCATCCATTCGGCGGGGGAGGTGTCGTGGTGTGGGGCGGTATTTGTAGAGATTAGAAAACTGATTTGGTGATTATACAGGGAAACCTGAACGCTGTGCAGTACAGAGACCAAGTGTTGCAGCCAGTTGTGCTTCCGTTCTTACAAAACCAACAGCAGGGGACATTGTTTCAACACTACAATGCCAGGCCCCATACTGCAAGACTGACTCGGAACTTTCTAAACCAGCAGAACGTTGACGTTTTGCCCTTGCCTGCCCACTCACCCGATATGAATCCTATTGAACATCTGTGGGACCATCTTGACAGACAGATTAGAGCACGCCATCAGCCTCCCGTCAACAGACAAGAATTGCAGCAGGCTCTGAGAGACAAGTGGCAACGGATTCTAGTCCACGTCATCAGAAGACTGACGTCATCGATGAGGCGGCGTATCACAGCATGCATTGAGGAAGCTGGAGGTCATACACGCTATTGAAGGCAACTGTGTCGACAATGAACTTGTTGTGTGTCTGACAATGTTTTGGTGACATTTCAGACAACTTTTGAAAATGAAATTTCTTACCCCACCATTGTTTACCTTGAGCTTACATTACCTGTGATTGCACAATTTCATTCAAACTGTGGTTGATCAACCATTTGTTACCCCTCCCTAGATTATATAAAAATTCACACAAAAAAACTCTTACTCGACCTATACTTTCTTTTGCCGCCTAGTTTAGAAAAACGCATATATTATGTAGAAAGTAAACTTCGGATTGTATATAAATACATTGTATATATCGTCAACCCATGATGTAAAGAAACAAACACATTTCATAAATCGTCAATCTCGCATATACAAAAGCAAACAGCCAGTGTATATGACGTCAACCCCTGATATTCCGGGACAAACACACACTGTATGTGTCGCCGTCCACGGTTCTATATGAACACACATGCACTGTATTACTCGTCAACTAGATGTCGCATTACATGTAGGCGAGTATGTCAATACATGTTTAACTGTACTGGTACTTTTACACTAGTCCTTACTCAAATATGAGAAAGCTTTTAAAAAGCCGTATCGATTGCAACATATTTCTTCAGTACACGCCAAGCACGGATGCTTATTGATAGGTTTGTATGTAGAGCTTATCTCGCAATAAGAGGTTTATTGCTTCGAGGTTAAGCAAATATGTCCTTCTAAATAGTATAGAGAGATCATCCAACTGAGTAATTTACGTGCTGGATTTTTTCTGGCTTAGGCAATCTTACTAAATTGCTGCAGAAATTATGCACATGATGTTGGGTGCGCTTGGTCTACAAATCACATTCACCGGGTAATATTTATTGATATATGGCGTCACTGGTTCAAAAGGTAACTTGGCCAGAAGGCCCTACCTACGGATGATATTGTCAACGCGCATGTTAACGGGGAATTGGCTCTTGGGGGGAATCAAGGACAAAATCGACATCACTGTCCCGGAACATTTTATGCACAACATGTTAACAATAAACAACAAATACACGATGAGCGGAATACCTGCTCTGACGGCACAAACACAGAAATGTGCGGACCTTCCAGCTCAGGCATACATGAGGTGAACGGAGCTCCAGCTCAACCTAAGGACGTTTCCTACGAGCGGCACATCCTGCCCGACGTCGTCCCTACACCAGCACTCGGAATACCAAGCGGACTAACAGTGTAATGATAACACATACATGTATATAGTAATGAACAACAGCGGACAGACAAAGAGACAATGACGTTGCTCTGGACATGGGACTTATAGGCGTGATGAAGCGACGCAGCTCAGGGTATGATCAGTTGAGGCAATAAATGTCATACAATAAATAACAGTAATTAACGGGAATTGATACGGTAGCCCAGGTTGGTTGACAGTCCAAATACAATGGAATGTTGGTGAGGATTAACAACGGGGATTAGTGTCTTATAAATAATGGCAATTAAGTTATGGAGACATATACATGTCATGGCTACAGGGTAATTAGCCTTTGGAATCAAATGTTCTTCAGACAATGGTAGTCCCAAATCAGTCGCTATGACAATATCTTTGCACGAAGTGTAAAAATTGTATGTAATTCAAGATGAATTCGAAGACCCGGGTTCATGGGTAAAATGGGTGAAGGCCTTTCTGGTGTTCCCCCGTGATGTTGCTGGAATATCGCTAAAAGCAGCGTAAAACCACACTCACTCACTCACTGGTTTGTGAATATCATTCCCAAGCTCTTATTTAGGTTTTTAAACATTACTGGCATGTGTCAAATTTGCCTTTTCCATTAAAATAGCTTTCCTCAAGCTTATTTGCCGTGATATAATTATAACTGAAATACTTTTAAAAACTGAATTTTCTAAATGCACTAATTTTACTCAACTCACACAAAAATAGCTTGAGGTCTGTTCATACACAAATGTCTACTATAATAGTTTTAAAATGACCGCTCTACAATATTAGATCATTAATCATTATTATTTTTTTGATAATGACGATAATATTTTATCTGACCTG